AATAAATGGCTTGTCTGAAACACCCATAGAATAGGAACTGAAGCAAGCCATAGCAATCTCTCTCCCTCTTCCACCCACCACACACCCTCGGCAGCTCTGCTCTTTTACCCATGACCGTTCAGGATGTTTTCTGGCTCTGTGACAGCATCGTGACTCAGGTCATGAGAAGTGTCAAAGATGCATTTCCTCGAGATGGGAAAAAGCAACTGATTTTAACAGCCCACAAAGACTAAGCAAAAAGAATAAGCCAAATCAGCATATTTAAGGGTAAAGATAAACCTTTTAAAAGATACAAGTATATTTTATTTCCAAACTTAATGCTTACGTTTCCTTCCATAAAGTGTTTACATTTCTCAGACTCCTAAAAATGCACGGTTGATTTAAATGCCTTACTTAAGAATAATAAACTCCAAGACAACAAGAGCAGCATCCATTACTGCTTAATCAATCACTGATCATATACACAGGCAATCTGATCCAGCCTGCATGCATGGGGGATCTGCCCCAGGTTCCCCTCCAGCAGCAGTGGCCGTGCCCAGGAGCAGCCTGCAAAACCCCACCAACAGGGCTGTCCTTCTTACTTACAATATATGAGAAGGAAATACACCAGCCTGCCTTTTACACACCTGGTTAACTGGTGAGATAGAATCAGACAGGGTAATTTTATTAAATTATTCTCAGAGAAACTCTTAAAAATCTGGCTACCACTTCTCCTTGGATTCCCTCACAATGCTGTCTCCAACACCTGACCTACAGAAATGTTCTGCAGTTTGACGCTACCAAGACTGAAATCATCCATTCTGTGGGGCGCTCACATCTGTAGCAATCCAGCTCCTCTCTCCTTTCACCTCATGGTCCAGCTTTGACCTCGCAGTCTCCTGTGTACACCTATTACTTCCCCTCTGCTTGACGACCCACAATCTTTCTGAGACAGTTTGCTTTGACCATTACTTCAGCATTTGCTGTGCTAAATCACCCAGTTGTATATTTTTACTCTTCATATCTCAAGAACTTCAATTCCCTTCTGATGTCAGTCTTCAACTTTCTACGGAAAACTTGCAACTACTTTTCCAAATGCACAGTTGTCCATCCAGTTGACCAAGGGAAGCAGGCTGATGGAATCCTTTTGGATTTCAGCAAAGCTTTCAATGCCATCTCTCACGACATCCTTGGCAAAACGTAGTGTGATGGGTGAACAACTGATAGGTTGTGCTCAAAGGGTTATAGCCAAGTTCCACTACACTCATAGGGTTCTGCAGGGATCCGTTTTAAGGCCGGTTCTCTTCAATGCTCTGGGATAACGGGGACAGCCCCATGTTCAAGGAACATTTGGACAATGTTCTGGGAAATACAGTGTGAATTTTGAGTGGTTCTGTATGGAGCCAGGAGTTGGACTTGATGATCCTTGCGGGTCCTTTCCAGCTCAGGATATTCTACGATCCTAAATTTAGAGGCAAATGTATATTTGCCCCAGTCTCAGATCAGCACCGTTTGCAAGCCCACTTCTAAAACACTTTATGTATAGACACAAACTTCCCCTGTGTCAGAATTTATCAGTCTGCTTCCCTACTTATCTGAAGGGAATGGATCTTTTCCTTCCACTTCAGAAACTATCCAATGCATACCACCCACTTCATTCACTTCACTGCTTCTCCATCCATTACCAAAAAGGAAAAGCAGCAAAAAACACAGCTTATTGGCAAGCAGTACGCTGCTAAGCAGTGCCCAAAACAGTGCTTAGGTCGGCTGTTCATACCTCTGCTCCCCTGCTCACACGTGTTTCTGGGGCTGCTGCAAACACAGAGGGAGGCTTCTGCCCACCCTCACACAGCCAGACGGAAGTAATGGATTCTAAAAGTTGCTAGCAGAAAATTCCCACCAGGTAATTTTTGTTTTTCAGTTGCCATCAACCTGTACAGACAGACTCCAAACGAGCGTGTGCAACCAATGCAATCACTGCAGGCAGCCCATTGCCCAGTGGATTTGGAGAGCTATGACTCTTCCCGAGTTAATGAAAAGCTCTCTTCTTATAACATTCGGTGTTTCATACCTACCATCAAACAACCACGAGCACGCATCAGAGTTTGCTAAGAGCCAGCAGCATAAAAAGAGGGATGCATAGCCGCACTCTAAATTCTCCTGAAGCATGAATAATTTCACTTCTAAAGCTGATCCCACACGAGTCAACGAATGGCGAGCAGAGCGGACGCAGGCGGGACGCAGGCGGGCACGGCGCGGTGCCGGGCAGCAGCGCTCGGAGCAGCCGCTCCGCTCGGATGACCGGGGCCGCGGCGCCCCCTGCCGGCAGCGCGGGGCAGTGCGTGCGGCGGCACGGCGATGGGTGCCACCGTTGGAACAAACGGGAACGGCGAAGGGGCGACACAAAGCCGGGCAGCCCCGCAGCACGCCTTGCTGTTTGCATCCATGTGTTACAAAGGTTTTCTGTAGATAGATTAGGATTTGCAAAAGGAGGAAACCAAAACCTTAACAGAAGCAACCTTTCTCCAGTGCCTGCTCTCAAACACTGCAAAGGATCTGTCCTCCAGTGCCTTAAGTTATCATACAGTTAATTTTCTTTGAAACTATTTTTGTCTGCCTTTCTCTAAATAGGTGGTTTCTTAAGTGAGTGTTACTTAAAGGAAACCAATCTGTTTTTCAGGAAGGGCTGATGATGTCAGTGCTTCAGCTCCGCTTTCCCATAAGAATTCTTCTAGTAAAAGGAGTTCCACTCTGGGAAATAGTAAAAAGTAACATGAAAATATTTAAAGCATCTCAGCCTGTGTGTTTATCGAAGCTCCAGATTCAAGCTTGGATTTTAATCTGTTGCGATCGTAATGAAGGCAAAGTGAGAGGGCTCTTTTGATACTTAAACAATAAAAGCGGGCTATACTCAAATATTCCTGAAATTGGAGTCTGAAGGCAATATGCACAGAACAGCTCGTTCCTTACAGCTCTAAGTCGATGTACTGCAATTCAGAGTAGGCAACGCATTCAGAACAGGATGGCTGTGTATTATGAGTGCTTTCAGCAAAACTGTCCCACCCAAACACATACTTCAATCCCCACTTAAATGACAAGACACATCTGACAATGTTATATTACCGAGCGCTTCTAGTCGCTGTTGGAGAGCAGCAAAAGCTCCAACGTATGCTTAATTCCCTATGCTTAAAGTTAGTTCTGATTCTGGAAAATCCAGCAGTGAACAAGAGCAGAAAGGTCAGAGTGGAGCCCCACGGACTCCAAGGGACACACGCCTACCGTTGAGGGCAGGGATCTGTTTTGACTGCTCTCTGATCAGTGCACGCTGCGTACCTGGGAGGTGGTAAGCGCCATCTCCCCCATCTCAAACAAGTTGAGGGGTCACATGAGGCCGTTCCTCTGCCATTCCAGCCCCACAACCAGCTGACGTGACAGTCTTACAATAGAAAAAGCCCATAAAAGGATGTCAACCAAACTTGGATATTACTGACAACACACTCTGGCAACTCAAAGGAATGACAAAAACAACCTTGCTGGATTAACAGATTAACAGGCAGAAGAACCCAAACAAAATCTGGGTTAGCTATAAAAGGTGCAAGGAAACATCTCTTTATCATCCTCTATTGAACAGTTTAGAGAACAAAGCCAAACTATGATTCATTTGGAAATGAAATCATCCCACCCCCAGCGAAGGCTTACATTGTGTGGGTAAACAGTTTGTGGGGGACTCAGAACAAGATGTAAATAAATTGCTTTCCTACTATATACACAGCAAATAGTTCCATTTTGAAACTGAGGGGGAAAAAAACCAACAAAAAAAAAAACAAACAAGTGAGAAAAATGTTACAAAATCTGAAGTCTGAAAATATTTACAAGAACAAAGCTTAATCACAAGTTCACATCAAGGGGTTATAACAGCTAATGAAAAAAGAAAGATAACAAGCCAGGATTTTGCTCGCAACGTCCCCTTTGTTTGGCCCAAGGTTGCAGCAAAGCGACTGTAATGCTAGGGAAATAACTGCAGGATTAGCAGCAGCTGGCCCACAAACACACCTGGTCTATGAGGAGGCCCCAAGCGCTCTCCATGTTGTCTGTCCTCCAAGATCTGTTGTCCACACTGTTGCAAAGATGTGTCTATGCATAAAAATGTGTTCCTCTGATTCAGAAATCTCACAAGGATTATCTCTAGCAGTAAAGATGCGGACTGTGACAGAACATAGTTGAGGTTTCACAAGCATTTCTTATCCTACACGTAATTAGGCAAGAGGAACTGTTCCCTGTGGCTTTAATACCTTTACACAGGAAAAAATGTGCCTAGCTGTCCCAAACTGATACTTAAACTCTCATTTTAATGGAAGCTGTGACTTACTAGAAAGAATGGGGTACGTTTGCAGCTGATTCTGAAGGCAAACAAATGGCTGCCAGTAGAGACCTCATCAAAGAGAAGGCAAATCAACAAAAAGGAGAAACTGAAGAAGTGGAGACAATGATGACTGCCGAGCCTTTATTTCAGAGGCTCCCTTTCACTACCGTGAAAAACATATCCACCACAGAAGTAGGATTTATAGATACATTCTTTAGATTTCTTTCTCTTGGTATATTAAGCAAACTGCAAGATCAAAAAAAAGAGAAAAACTTGAACTGTCTTTCCTGTATTTATGAGTCAAGTATTTATACTTGACTCATTCCTATAAAACCTGCATACCCCAAATATTTCTGCACCTCATTTTATGAAACTCAGTTTTTAGTGGCACAATCTACACGGGCAAACAGAAGGAAATTAATCAATTCTTGCAATCTCCAGTAAATTCAGCATTCCTGTTTTTCAGGTTTCTAGCAATTATTCTGAAGCTGGAAGACCACAAAGGTCTTTAGGCCAACAGGCCCAACGATGTTTAGGGACCAAATTCTTGGGGTCGGGCAGCCACACAGCAAGTGCTGAAATGTGCTGGGGGACACAGGCATTAATGAGAGCGGGGGAAAGGCTTCCTGACAACACAGCAGGGAGATAAAAAGTTTACCGTGCAGCGGTGAGCCAGAAGGACTGCTTGACAGGCCTGGAACAGGGCTGCAGCGGCCTCCCTGTTTAGATGTCAGCTCCTGCTCGATCTCTTCCAGCCCTGCGCTCTTCTGGAAGCGGCTCATGCGGTTCACCACCCGCGGTGACATGTGTGTCCTGACACAGGGCTGTCCCCCATAAGGATTGATGGGAAAAACGTGGGAAGTGCCCCGAAGCGTGCTGACCACCACCCAGCGACAGTCGTGGCTGAAGGAGATATCCTGTACCTGGAGAGCAGAGAAGTGAAATGGAAACGTAGTCATCGGCGCACACGAGGAAACAGCGACGTGTTTTAAAAGACAAATCTTTACTGGGAATGTTAATAACAACACCCACCAAGTGTTTTTTTCTCATCAATACCAAGTGAGCCTTGCTGCAGAACAATGCCCAGTTCCAAATCGTATGCACTTAGCAAAAGATTCTGATTTTTTTTTTTCTTATAAGCAGGCCTCATCAAAACAAACCAGGATGCAAAGCACTACTTAAAGCCACGAGAGCTTGGCATAATTTTCAAATAGAATTTACTTCTGAAAAGAACTGGGAAATCATTTCAATTACATGCTTTGTTATTTGCTTTCTTACTTTGAATTTTAGAAACTACCCAAAAAGGGGAAAAGGGAAGGATGAGAACAAGAGAAAGAATACATCTGAGCCTGATTTTGGCAAATACTGGCACGCAAAACTGTATTTAAAGTTAACAGAAACACCATGTCCTATGTACCATGTAACTTAAGCAACCAAAAATCAATGCCCAGTATTTTCAAAAGCTGTCTCTAATGGTCTCCTGCTACCCTCAGTTTGTCCATCAGTGGAACTACCGTCCATTCCATATCTTGGGACTAATGCTGTTTTTAGGTTTTAAAATTTAGTCAGGAAGAAATTTAGTAACTTTGGTAATTTCTCAATATAAATGACTCCATCTTACAGCTAACAATCTTCATTAATCGGCTACTGAAGTCCCAGGAAAGACCCCAGTTAGGATTCTTCTTACACATACTAGTTCTTATCCACCACTTGAAAAATGCAACCCTTAATTTCAGCTTAAAATGGTCAGCGTGGAAGCAAATATAGTGATACAGTTAAATATTTTCTATCACAGTTACTGCTTGTACAGATCTCAGATATGAAGTCCAGAAGGATATAATTCCCTTTTAAGTGTGCTTTACATAACACTTTGATGGAAAGCAAATTCTTGTTGCTGAAGGAATGCTTTAAAAGAGAGATTAAACTTTGTTTCCAGCCCCATACTGGCAGACAACTCAAGAAAACAAGTAGTCTAGGCTAAAATGATTTATCATAGAAAAGAAGTCTTAAAACAATCCTTCCAACAATGTTTTTAAAGGTAAAAGCTGACTAAAAAGATCCACATACACAAGTGGGATTTAACACGGCAAACAAACATACAGATGAAGGATTAGTTTTCATTATATTACTATATAGCATAAACTAAATAAAATTCTTTAAGATTTCACTGAAGGCAGTTTTACAATACACTAGGTACTCAAACTGGAGTAAACACTGATAAAATCTTGACAAATATTCCAGAAATGCACTCCAGCTATTCCAGACAAAAGCTGCAAGTATTCATCAAAGTGCGAGTTTCCAACCGAGCCCCGGAGCCTCCGAGATAAAAAAGGATTTCAGCCTTGTGACTCGTGACACCATATTTGGCTGACAGACTGCCACCAACAAAGTGCTTCATCCACATTACGTGGAAAAACTACAAAGCACACCTACACACCTGCTCCTTTCAACCACGGGGATGCACCCAAATGATCTGCTAATGATGCAGCTCTGCAACCAGCTGAAATCTGGCAGCTTTAGCACTCATGGTGATTGTGGTATTACTGACATGAAGTCACAGCACTCAGAGCCTGGTTTGTCTACAAAGTGCTTCACCTTCACAGATTGCTCCGAAAGGATTAGAGACCCCACGGGGATTAACCCCAAAGCTGTGGGGTCTGAGCAAAGCCAGGGCACCAGGACTGCCTACACACCTGCAGTGTGAAGAGGCAGCGTGGACTGGGTCAAACCAAAGGTAAGAACTGCATACAAATCACCATCCTCAGTTACAATAGGAAGATCCTTAACACAATAAAATCACTGTCTGTTGGAATAGATCTCCAATCCTATCAAAGGCCCTATCTTCAATTTGTAAGAACATGAAGAACAGCCACGTCTGCCTTCAGATGCTGACCTTCTGAACACACAACTGTCTGCCAAATATTTGGTATTCATTTTAGATGCAGCTTCCAATTATGAGATGATAAAGAAGAAAATGTATCTCACTGTACTGCGTACCAGAAATGTATGTTTCCATATTAATACTCTGCTGTCAGCATGCATCCTTAGGATTACGCCGTTTAAAAAAACAAATACATATAAATACAAAGGCCCTGGCATTTGACAACTCCAGCCAAGAAACTGGGAAACAATCGTAGCAGGATGTTTTTTCTCAATGTAAACATCACACAGAAAAGTATTCCTGATCTCCAGGAAGAATGTGCCTGGAACACCGTCATCCAAAAGGTCCTCTTAAAATAATGACCACAAACACCACAGCTGGGCATGGGCTTCCATGGTCCTGACGACTCTCAGTAAACAGAAAGCACTGAGGCTAAGAATGGGGTTTTAAGACACACTGGGGGGAAAAGAAGTGTAGACAGATGGGTGTGAAATGAACAAAGTTCTCTAGAAGCACACCTATGAAGCCTGCTCAGCAGTAGCAAGCTGTGTTCTGGAAGCTGCCTTTGTACACAAGCATCTCCTACCTGTCTCAAAATGGGCCTAATTTCACTTCCACAGGTACGTGCTGAGCAACATTACCACACACAGTTCAAGGAGTTAATTCAGAAAATACTTCCAGCTTCATGCAAGGCCCAGGTTAAAGTGTGTTAGCATCAGAAGGGCACAGTCCTTCTGTGATGGGAAGGAGCCCACTGCTCCTTTTCAGCAGACCTGGATGAAAGCAGCAGTCCAAGCCAGAAGGAGAACGCTCACTGCAGCATGCTCTTCAAAAATCAGCCGTGTGTGTCATGAAAAGAATATATAAATTATCGTATCAGACTTGCTGTTATCCACCACACTGTTACTGCACACTGTGCAGAGTTCTTGACTGCTCCTTGTATAAACAAGCTGCACAGTGGCCCATTAGTGGTTTTCAAGTTTATGCTAAGCGTTGCAATTTATTGCTGTCCTTTAGGTTAATGGACTATTATTTCATGTATTTATAATATATTTCTGGATTTGTTGTTAATTATGATGTAATGTTTAGATACCAAAGATCAATCAAGACCCCATAGTGTTTACAGATATATGTTAATAAACTACAAAGTACACTAGATCTCTCATGATGCAAAGTTTACTCTTTAGCTCAAGGTCAACCTCAGATTTAATACCCGTGCCTTTATAGAATTTAATCTGTCCTCTTCCGTCCGTGCCAATAAAAGGCAACGCAGACCCGTGATTCTATTTAACTCAGGAGTACTTAAGATACTTTAAATTGCAATACCACGTAGTTTTGTGAGATTATCAGTGCTTCCTCCTGTCTTTACGACTATTTCTTCACAGTCTGAACTGAGTAAGGCCGTAGGGCAATGCAATATATGGAGTCCTGCAAGGATAGGTCATTTACCAACAGCTCCACTGAAGATCTGCTTCCAAGACTAACAGCTATTCCTGATATGATAAAAACCTGGAGGGAAATATCTGAAGCTGAGGCTTCAAAGCTGAGACACATTTACTTTTTCACACAACGGAAATACAAAGAAGTTTTTGCTATCTTTCCTTCTTTATTCCCACAGCTTATCCAAATATAGATATAATGTTAATTGGAGAATATATATATATATATATTTTTAAAGTTTAAGCCATAACTGGAAGAAAGCAAAACAGAAGCAAGAGCAGCCCACAGAAAACCTATTTTAAAAGCAGTTGATTAAAGTGGGATAGCCAGAGGTATGGCTGATTACACAAGGAAGTGCATGGGACAGCAGTGACCTTGTTTACCACTACCCCTGGGAATGACTGACAGCCCATACCCAGCCTCTGGATTTCATGTCTTCTGAAAGTTAATATTGTACTAACTTGCTGCACTATGCTTACGTTTATACCATCCCTTTTTTTCTGCTGAAGGAGAAGGAGCTATAGGGGCTGTCACAGCAGCTATGGGGCACAGACAAGTGAGCCAAATGCAGTCTGCAGCCCTCAGCTGTGATGCAGAGCTGCCAACCCGGGGCTCGTGTCCTTCCTGCGCACATCCACTGATGTGTGCACGAGGCAAGAGTTAGAAAACAAAGCTCACAGCTCTGCACCATGTATTTTCATAGCAATTACAAGAAACAGCAATTGAAAATCATTTCTATTTTCCTGGTGCTTTCTTTCCTAATCTCTCCTTTTCAAGCATGGTAAATTACCCCAATAACAATATGTATATCCTTGTGCACTTCATTGCATTAACTTGCATCTCAACATTGTAGTGAAATGACAATAAAGCACAAGCAGCATTACTGCATGCACATTGTGCAGTGTCACAGAGGAAGCATACCATTATTTGAAGGACATGACTTAAGTATTGAATTATATTGAGCAGAGAGATAGCAGAAATTAAAGAAACCACCAGTGCTATAGAACAAGAGAGCAGCAGTGTGGAGGGGGGGAGAGCCAAAATTAATCAAAGAACTGGTCTGCATTTGACTTTTTTTGGTCAAGAAAATTCAGGGAACAACATGACAACAAACACAAATGAAAAAATAATACAATCACGGGCCACACGATCTGATTTATCAGATCCACACAGACATAACTCTGTCTCCTTCAGCACTCAAAACTGATTTCAACCCTTCAAAGCCCTGCAGAACCTGGGCACACCATGGCACTCACACCAGGTCCCTCAGGCAGAGGAGCTGCTCTGCATTAAGCATTGACACTGAGCTCGGAGCTCCGTGCCCTCAGAGTGCTCAGCTTTTTTCTCTGCTTCCATCAAAGACTGATCACCTCCTCTAAATCAATATTATTTCATGACTCCCCCTGGTTTTCTAACAATTAGAAAATCTCTCTTCCAGAGACTATTTCAACAACTGCAAATACATAACCATGTCACAAGACAGGAAGAGGTTTCTATTAACCACCCATGAGGTTGATATCCAGTGTTTGCTAACTAACCAATGCTACCCGGACACGGTATGTGACACAGGTTTGAAGCACCCCCATGAAACCACAGCATGAACGCATGCTGCATTCTGCAGAGAAGAGTAAAGCAGCCCATGTTCTGGGGCAGCCCATGCTGGAATGTTTTTATCATTCCTTCTGTTTACCTCTGCTGCCTGCAGTCAGCTCTAGCAGCAGTTGGAGAGTCAGAATAACAAAAGTCTGACAGTGTAAAAGATTACAGAGGGCCCTGGCCAGCGGCCCACTGATGCTATCGTTACGTTTATTTGTTCTAGGTGGAGATAATACTGTTTTCGGGGATTTTTTTTTCTGTTTACAATTTAAGATCAAAAGGAAAGGATCGTCAGGTGACAGCCTAACTTTCATCTGCAAGTAAATGAACTTCCTTGGCTCAGAGCAAGCTATACCTTCATTAAAAGTTTTCTAATGCACTCTTGGATAAAAATACGAGTGCAGTAGGTGTTGACTCACAATGCAAGAACTGCAAGGCAAGGGAAAGTATCCTTAACCAAGAGGTGTGCTGCACACACATTCTTCCCTTTGCAGCTGAACTGTGCGGTGTGGATTCTCTAAAGGCTTCAGTTCTCCCTCAGGTCTGGCTACATGCAACCAGCACTTGCAATGGGCCTTCATGATGTGACACAAGTGCATCAAACACACCAGGTTTTGATCTCTTTAGAAAAAAAAATTCTAAAGCATAAGTAGGTCTTAAAGACTAAAAGATCTTAATCCAGCCTAAGTGACAGAGTGGCTTCTGACTGTGTTTGCAGGAAAGTAACTTGGAAAGTTGTGACCTTAGGACTCCCATCACTCAAACCAACAAAGTATCAGAGCACTTCACATTCTTTCCAGGCTGTTGTCCTCAGAATTCCCTCAGGAGACAGAGGTCCATTTTCCATCTTAACCCATCTTGATCTCGGTCACACAAAAAAGCCAGGGGCTTTGCCAGGAACTGAGTACAACCAATACATCTAACTCAGCAGAAAGACATGTTGGTGACTTAGAGACACTGCTCGAGCTCAGCGAATCCATCAGAAAACACCGTTATTAAATCATAACACTCGCTTCTTTTTCTTCAATAAGCATCAAGCATGCAGTGTAATCCACTTGAGGTGCTCCTGTGCACAAAGGACAGAGCGGATTTCCTGGCAGACAGACGGACACACCGAGCCCTGCCTGCCCAGCCACCCCCAGAGTGGAGGCAAAGGGGCGGCCCTGCAGGAGGGGAGGCTGTGGGGCTGATGCGTGGAGTCAAGCACTGCTGTAACTCCAGGTGTACCCCTCAACGTTTGGAACATCAATGCATACCGTTCCCAAACTTTTGGTCTCAGAGTGATGCAAAGCTGCTTGGACCGTTATGCTGAGCCAGTGCTTTGTCCATGAGCTGAATGGCTTTGTAGTATTGGTGGCAAGCACTTGCTAAAAACATGCAAACTAATCAAAAAGCAAGAAAAAAAGTCATGCATCAGGAAGAGGGGCATTTGGGGAAATACGTGGTGAAGCACTGTTGCCCAGAATCTCACATACGAAAGCAGATTACTTCAGTATGGATATTCAACTACCACGTATAACAAGGACATATGATGACGTTTAAGCAATTTATAACGGGAACTAACGAAACAAATTCTGACACTGATAATCACTCATGTCTATCAACAAAAATTAGAACTTTTTATAGCTCCAGTACAGAAGGTGACCTTTAAGACCATTGGCCTTGATTCACAATTAGCTTCAAACCAGGGGGAAAAAAGTCTGGTTGCAAATGTATAAATGCTGTTCTGCTCAAGAAAGGAGGTACAGAGGCTTCCGTGTGTCTCTCAGAATATCTGCAGTGAGAATTTTAAATTGAGCAGCCTCCAAAATTCTTGTCTAATGAAATTTATGGAACAAAAGAACAGCACCACACACTGCCCTTCTTACTACAAAACTGAAAGCATTGTTGTTCCAAAAGCAGAAATATGCATCATATTATGTAAATGTTTTAAATATGTGTATTGAGAACCCTATGTACCAATGTGATATTGTTGCTGGATAGTTCAATTATCAGGGGATTGGTAAAATCCATCAATATGCGTGGGACTGCTTAGGATTTTCTCTGTTTTATACCATTCCAAAAGCTATACTGTTCGTGTCCCAAATGAAAATTATGTGGCAAATGTGGAAAAAAATTTACTATGTTGATCCTGAGAATGTTAACACAATACCTTCACACAGACAGTAATGCTATATCCCAGAGACTTGTATCAATAAAGGTTTAGTCTCAAAACACATAATGTTTGCTTTCCAGTGTATGCCTTTAAAAATAAATTCATCAGCTATAAAATACAGAAGAACGTCTTTGTTCCTTCTGACTGCACTGATACTTTGAATATTGATTATAGGACATTCCCAATTTTTTCTGTGGAAGCAAAACAAGAACGACACACTGAAGACATTATATCACACTCTGCTAGATAACAAAGCATTTATATACACAGATCTGCAATATTTGCCCTTTTTTATTTATAAAAACCACTTATGAGATAATTACTATATGTATGATCCCACATAAAGAACCATTTTGTTTAATTTCATCTCACTTTTCACATTGGCTATTCCTCCCTATGCAGGAAGGAAACCATTGCCTGTTACAGTGCTTACATTTTGCACAGTAGCAGAAGCCCTTTTAAACTACCAGAAATTTAAATTCACACAGATTGAAATATTATCAACCTCTACCGCATTAAATAAAGCTATCATCTCTGCTTGCTAAAGGTAAGGCAAACTTAAGGGCAACTGTGCAACCCATAGGAAAAATGAAGGTATGAAGCAACTGTAATCAGGGTACCACAGCCACCCAGGCTTCCAGTATCAGGGTCACAATCAAAGTGCCCGAGGCTTCTCCCTGTCACACTAGCTTACATCTGCCAGACTGTCACAAGTCTGTGCTTTCAGTGTGTAATTGCATCAGCAAGTGCAATACTCATTTCTTACCCTCTGGTGACATTTTTATTTATGTATTTAAAACAGGTTCTTCAACAGTTACTCAATGCTACAAAGGTGAAGCTCTCCTGATGCCTAAAAGCAGTGCAGTGAAGGATCCAGCCATAATACATCACACTGCTGCTGTCACAGCAATGCTAGCAAACAGCAATTGAGTGGCATCTCTAACTTTAGTAAAACAACTTATTGAACATTTTTTAAATGTGCATTCGGGTTTTTTCACCTTATTATAAGCAAGCCCAGTTTAACCTCCCATCTTTAGGAATGGGATTCTAATTGGAAAGTTAAAATTGTATCCCTCCAATCTCCAGCAAGTTCCCCCATTCTGCTGAAGTGTAGATAAAAGTTAATTACAGTCTTTGGATTAACTTTTGCTTTCAACTCTCCAGTCGCCTTTCTTTGGCTTTTACCACCAAAGTCAAGCAAACCCTGACAGTTGCTTCACAGGCACTAGACAAATGTTACATGAGAAAAGGTTAAGTGCAAACACAGCTAATAATCTGGGCTCTTTGGAGGTAGAGTCATATCTGAATAAATCTGACAGCACCTCATTGTAAAGGGCAAGAATTTATTATTGTCCAGGTTAAACGCTGTGCTCTTATCCTTTTTGCGGCTATAACACAAGAAAGGCTCTTTCTGTGCTGAAACAAACATTAAAGTGCCAACATACACAAAATGTATAAGGTGTCTGGGGATTATTCTTCAGCAAATAGTTCCACTTACTTTGGCTTCAGTCTCTCCCCTGTGAAGTGTATACAAATGATGGACGGCACTTTGTGATGATGACCAAGGATGTGTCAGTATTTGAAAAACATGGAAATCATGGCCTAACGTGTCAGTAGTGACCAGCAACATCCCTGGATAAAAAAGAAAAAAGAAAAAAGAAAAAAAAAAAGAAAAGCACAAGAGATTAAACACTTGAAAAGAGGCTTAAGAACATCTATCTAAAAAGCTGAAGTGCTTTACATCGTGGTTTCTGGAAACAAAACAGTTTCAGGAAAATCACTGAATTTAAAGAGATTCATTTCATAAAAATGAAACAGAACTTCAACCTACATCATACAACACCAGCACTGCTGAAAAAGTACAGCACAAAGCTATGAAAGGCAACCGAGGAACCTGTGAGAATTTCAAGTCACACTGGGAGTCTGAGTGACCAACGTGTAGCACTGAAGTGATGAGCACTGCAGGGAATCACCAACAGTGCTCTTCACACTGAAAGAGTCCGTATACAAAAGATTGGTGTTTCCACAGTAATTAGTTTTGGACATAGAATTGCTATGAAAATACAGCTAGAACAACCTATACCAAAACAATCCTGAAGAAGCATCTTTTTACAAACGCATGTGAAAGGAACTGTCTGATTTACGGCTGGAAAGGCAGCAAATCAGAGTTGAGAGCTTTCAAGTGAAATATTAAATTAGGTACTAACTTCATTGAAAACGGGTCACTGATGGATGTACTGAAATGATTAAATTAGAAGAGCAGCAGAATCACAGTAACTTCTATATGCTGCTTATTTCTTCTTCTCTGCATGGCAGTCCATAACGCATTTCATAATTTACAAACACATATTGAAAGCCAACATGCCATTATGTTTTTATACCAAACTAAGAAATGTTTTTGCATATGGAAGTATGGCATTATGGCATAATTTGAGAATACAGTAAGCAAATTTCGTACCCATTTTTCTGCATATAATTTCCATATTAACTCGCTTATTAATAAAATTAAGGAAACGATCACCCCAAATAAACGTTTATCAATTTCAGATGCAAAACACTTTAAGCATGTTAATAGCTACATTAAAGCACCTCCTAAATAATTTTCAGAGTATCATATCCACTACAGGAAACCAGGATTTTTCTGCACAGTTCACGTTGCATTGGTTCTCCATTTAAACACAGCCAAATCCTTTTATACTCCAGGAAGAGAATTTAGATCTCCACATTTTACCTGACTCCTCTTCAAAGGACAAACAGTTATCTTACTTCTGTCATAAAGGAGTGTTCATGTTCTCGATTTATTTACCCACGACTGCATGGTTCATATTTTTTTTTCTCTCTGTTTTACTCACTGCTGCCTAACAAATATATCCAGTACAAATTCCAACCCCCCCACGTGTTATCACTGAAGCCTGGTACATGCCACTTCTAAAACTGCAGAATTAGACTGGGAAAAAAAGCAAATTCACATACAGAGCAGCAGGGAATCATCTCAGTTAAGATTAAGTTTAATTAATCTTTCAGCAGAACCGAGGGCACCCTACCACTAGGTCACTCTCTGAGCACTTTTCCTCCATGATAGCTCCCAAATCTCTCTGCCTTTAAGCTCAGATTGGAGACAAAATGTTGATGTTCCGGACCCACCAGCATCCCCCAGGGTGCTCCAGGGACACGGACACTGACACAGCACCAGCAAGGACCCTGTGGGTGACCGCAGTGCCTCACAGCTCTTAGAGATAGAAGAAACTTGTGAATATCAGTACTTTGAAGAACGACTCACGCCAGCAGAAAGGTACAGAACTGCAGAGAAATCTAAACTGCACGTAGAAACAGATCTGCCTACGAAGCTCCTTTTAGCTTGACCACTGTGCTGGTGGGGCTCACGCAGAGCGCGGCCACCCACATTGCTCACAGCCATTTATTTCCTCAAAATCACACATACGCAGAATCTTAAATATCTTAAACCCGACCTCAGCAAGATTCTCTCCAGGAGACATACTTTACTACTCCAGGCTGCTGCCCCGGTGCCGAGTGTTAGAAATGAAAGAGAGTTTGTTACGGAGCTCAGAAATCCATGAGTGCATTTGGGTATTGTGTTTGGGCGGTAAGGCATGTGAGTCGAGGTTGGTCTGGATGTTAATGTTGGCTTAACTGGCAATTTCCTTGATTTGTAGTGACTGTGTTGATAGGAAATACAGCTAAAGTTGCTTAAGTGCAAGTGAGCCAAGTCTTTAGTGTGGGATTATGCACACAATTTGCATTAATTCTGTTCTGAAACATCACAAGATACACTTCCCTCCTAGTGAAGTGTGCGGTCCTTGATAATATATAGCGATACCAGCGGAGAAAGTCGGAAGCAAATAGAAGGGTTTGTGCACCAGAATTAGGCTGACACTATTACTGGAGCGAGGATATTCCAAAAGACCTAATTTAAAGTATTTATTTTCTGCATCCCTCTGTCTGCCTCTCCTCACACATTAGACCACTTTTCAGGGAGGCTGAGTGTGCTTTCTGTTCTCTTGCCTGGAGAAAGAGAAGCTGGAGGAGATGGCGCCCACAGGGCTTCTCTCAGCAGCCTGCAGACAGCCTTAGCAAAACTGGAGGCTTATTTATCCAGAAGCCTTTTGTAAACGCACGTGCAGAATGCACCCAGAGATCTGAGCACAGTGTTCACGTGCATCCCATCACACGGCACAGCACTGTCACAGAAACATCACAGAAACATGGTGGAATGAGCCAACAATCTGCCTGGGAGCTGGAGACAGAAAGTGGTGTAATAATTAGGAGGCAGTGAGAACACAGGGATCACCACACTGCACTGTCCATCACACCACTCTGGTCTGTAGCACTGTTTCCAATCCTGGCTGGAGATGCAGGTGTCTGCAGATGGACTGATAAACCCTGCAGCCCACAGGCTGATATAATTTCACCTTGCTTCTTGCAAAGGTATTTTTCCAATTCTGTAATTTCTATTCACACAGTGCTAGGGTGCTGTTTGGGAGCACACAGGCAAACAAGTACAGCACCCAGGGGCACCTGTTCATCCTTCAATGACAAATGCAGTGTCTGAACAAATTAAGTGGCAAAACATGCTCACCTACCTGAAATTCTGATCACTGCCCTATGAGGTAAATACTGCCTGGCTCCACAGTAACGTGCTGTCCTTGCCTTGCAGTATTTTGGGCTTTGTCTGCTTTCTTTTTTTTTTTTTGTTAGCTTGAAGGAGTAGAGAGAGATTGTATTTGTGGGTGTAAACAAATTGCCTTAAAAATAAAAACATGAGCAGCGTCTGACTTGGCAATTTTGCATGTCTAACCTAAAGTCCTTCTTTCTGCCACTGTTTGGATTAAATGCAATTTATTAGATGAAAGCCAAAAGAAAGCAGGCCCTTCACTTCTATTAACAATTATTTCTTCAGAAAGCGAAAGGAGATGATTTCCTACAAACATTTGCATTTGAAAGACAAATATACACTTGCAGAGCTGATTCAACACAGAGATCCCAAGCACAGCACCACAGGTGCAAAAGAAAACCCATTTATAAAACTGTACTTTCAAACATCTTACTCACTACTGTTACTCAAACATTAAATCTCTGACGTTTTAGGAGATGGGAGCTATGTTTTGGCATGGTGTTCTCCACCTCTCATTGCTTCATACAGAGAATCACAGCTTTCCATTCCTACAGCACAGCAATGGCATTCCTCTGCCCACCCCACTGACACCTGACCTCCGGACTCAGCACCGACCTCACTTTCTCTTTCATGTGCAGGAAACTTCAGCTCCACTTTCTCAAAGACTGTGACAGTTTTCTCAAGAGGTTGTTTAGACGGAAATAGGGGTTAAAGTTGTCATAAGCTCATTCCAAAATGTTTTCTTGTACAAAGTACTTCATGTATGAATAACCATAGATGAGAAGTGAGTAATTCTCAAGGATTTCCTGCTTATTTTTCAAACTGGCATTAATCCCTGGTTAACAGATACCATCTGAAATCAATTGAACATCTTACATGTACAGAACCCACGGAAATCTACGCACCAAGCTGACAGCAATTAGTATGCATCTCCCAGCAAAGCTGACTTTATTTTAATCCGTAATGTGAGGTGTACAGTTAGTTTAAGTTAATGACTGCTTTACTATGTGGTTTTTCAAATCCACAGAGATGATTAAAACCCAGTTTAAAGGGACCCGATGTCCTAGATGCAAAAACAATAACAAAATTCCTGCAGCTTCATTTTACCTGACAGACACACACCTGCCTGCTTCCCATGCATTGTGTTTGGGAAACGATGCGCTTCTTTCAGGACAGAAACATTAAAAAGTGCAGAGAATATATGCATAAAAGGAAAAACCAGTACAGATGTAGACTGTGGGTTAAGAGCTATTTATGCAGTATCAGAAGACTAAACCAGACTCTGGCCTGGCCATAAACTAAGCCCACGCCCTAAATGAGGTGCCAAGCCACAAAAAGCATTTGCGTCAACTGGGAATACAAGGAAAAGAAGGACTTCTAATTATAGGGCCTGGAAGCGGAAGCCCAGAGTGATTAGGAGTTGAGGCGCTGCTGTATGTTTATCTGGGAGCTTCCTCTCGCTAGCTCTCAGCCCGGGTTTGATAGATGAGGGTTGGCCGAAAGGGTGGGATTGGAGCTGCTGATGGTACACAGAGTCCTCCACAATCCGAAGGAAACGGAATAGTAAGGCTTCTGTGGCCTTGTAGGAACATAACTCTTTTCAGCTAGGCGTCAGCTGGTTAGCCCAAAAGGCAAAATTAGAGAGCAGCAAATCCAGTTGGGTACTTGCTATAAAATCTGAGAAACCTTAGCAGCCTGAGCATCTCCACCACATCCTATTTATAACACCTATGGAACTGCATTGTTGTTTATTACATGCATACAAATGAGATGTGCACAATTTCACCTTGGGTTTACATTTCCTGAGTAAATTCACGTTAAGTAACGTCATCTTTCAGAACAGCAGTTTTTTTCCTCCTTCCAAAACAATGTCATTTTGTAATTGCATGCCAAAGAGCTCAGTGCATTCGAGCTGTGCTGGATTTGTTCTAAAAACACCAAGAGCACACGTTTTAGGAAAGCAGCCATGCAATAGCACAAAGAACACAGGTATTGACAG